CAAACGAGTAAAAAGAGTGAAAGGGCCAAACAGACTGAACCAACCGGCCAGCAGAAGAGCCAACAAACACAGACATCACAGAAGATTACCTTTCTCGTCTGTATTTGCGATAAGCTATAGCGGCTATAAGCCTAGGGAGAGAAAAACATAATGGTGGAATGGTTTATTATGTTGTTTCGCTCTGTGAGGAGCCGTGAACAGCAATGGAAGCAACTGTTTTGCTGATGGATTTAAACACATAAAATTAAGGTAATGTATTTGTTAAAAAAATAAAATAAATCAGTCTCAACAGTTTCACATTTTGCACTGCACTTGAACGCATTCATATCCCAACATCACGTCTGCAGAAAACAACGTGAACAAAAACTATAAGACGGGAGTTCATATTCTATGCTTGGACTGCTGCGAGACAATGTGTAACACCTAACTGTAGCGCGTAAGAGATAATTATGAGGATCGTTTAGGTTTCATGTCAGTGATAACAGCCTACACTCTGCCTACACATGAATCTGCTGGGATATAAGTGGGAAAGAAGACTTCAAATTATAGTGTGAAATTCAGCCTCGTCTCTGTGCAACCTGATTTGCATTCAAACGAACCGACTCACACCATAAAATGATGCGATAAAATTAAAGAGGCCAAATTATAAACTTAAAGCCTGAGCTGTTTTTTTTTTTTTGCCAATAATTAGTCAAACACTTCATGAATCAGATTTCCCCTCACGTGACCAGATTAGTGTGCTTCGATTTCGTCATCTGCTGTTTGTGTTCGACTGGGTAAACACACCTCCGCAGACTGACATGTGACCTTCTGGTGAACCACACCAGCATTCCACACACACCCCACCCCGTTTTTGCACACACCCCCTCCCTCACCGAGCCCTCCATCCTCCAAATTTGGGAGAAGTCAGAGCAAGGTCAGCTTTGGGGATAAATCCTTTACTCTGTCACTGTCACTTAATGCCTCTTTCCCCTTCTTTTTCCTCCTCTCATCTCTGCTCCGCTCCCACAGTTCGCCTCGGGGGCTAACATCAGTGCACGCTACTGAAGCTTACTGACTCCCTATGAATTAAACATGGATAAACATATTCCCCAACTAACAGGGAGCCTGTTGCAAGGGGTAGCTTCACAGAAGCATTAGGCAATGATTTTATGTCATCGCAGCTTCCTGTCATGCGTTGAGGATGAGTTAAAAATTCGCACAAGAGGAGTTTAGCGAGGGTATAAGTTTAGACGGAAACTCAAGTGGGCTAATTGCGGCATGGCACATGTGCCTGTGCCTGTGTCCTTGTGCAAGCCTCACCTGTGAGAGGAGCTTATTGTTATCGTCTTCCAGTATCCGCACTTTCGTCTCCAGCTGCCTGATGTAGTTGGTGGAAGAATCTGGAGGAGAGATGAAGAGGGGAAAAAAGAGAAGAGGAGAAGTGATTAGCATTTCAAAGACCTCAAGCGGAAAACGGGCAGGCAGGGCCACTGAGGCAGAAGGACCACAGAGAGCTCCAAAGGTTGCCGTGCAGTTTGAGATGCACATCATATCCTTGTGAAAGAGCATTATAATATTAGCTAATATTAGCTAATATGCTAGCTCTGACACTCAAAGATCTAAAAAGATTAAATTGGCACCCAAACAAAAGACAAAAGGTACAAATTCTCCCACCTTTTACATTTTTGCACTATGGATGCAAATGTTGGTATGGGCTTATATCAGGTATTTATCTGGTGACTTACATTGGCATAAAAAGAAAGATGGCATCAGCTTTTAGACGGCTAAAAAAATTGTTGTAATAGTAGTAAAGATTTCATCCCTAATTTTAATTTTTTAGTAATTTTAGTTGATCCAAGTATTGGTTCCATCCTCAAATTCAAGCCTATTGGTCGCTTTGCAAAATAAGTTCTTGCAGCTGATGTCAAAGGTCAAGCACAGTGTTCACGCTGACCCATTTTTTGACCCCATACTCGACCGCTTTTTCCTTTCCCAACTTGGTGCACATTTCTCCTGTTCTCTGTATGAAAGAGAGTCAACTGACATATTTGAGATTCGTCACAGAACTGTCTGTAATCTGCACATCTGACAGTCTAACTGCAGCCTAATTATCCCACAGAGGTTTACACAACCAAGGTTGATCCCAATAAAGCGGCACTGTGCTGACTTGAATCAACTTTACCGAGTTCAAATCAGGGACGGGAGCTGATGTGAAGCGCGGAGGTACAGTTTGACTCTGCAGGTGCCAGGGAGCCTGTTATCTAAAAAGGCATGTTTAATTTACAGAGAGAGATCAAAGCCGAGTTACGCACAGGAGCCGCGCTCTGCTAGCTACTCGGGAGCACAACACCGCACGCACGGCTTTATTTTGTTTTGTTTTCCAAGTGGAATTACAGAGAGGCTGAGAGCGGCGACGGCGGAGAAGCTGCTGATGAAAATGATGGGTTGAGGTTTAACAAGATGCACATGAGGACTCACAGCTGCAGGGTGCCGCACACGCAAATGAAACAAAGCTTCTCGCATCTGTTTGGCAACTCTCGTCTTAGTTTGCCTCGACTTAAATGACCCTCACAAGTCCAACACGCATTTAAGCAACTCGACAAGCACTTTGCAAGCAGGGGGCACCACTGTTCACAAATCAGCCCACTCGAACGCCAACCTGGATTCAGCAGGTTTGCAGTTACATGCACACAGCCACAGATGCTATCAGTTTCAGACATACTTTAGAAACGTCCTGCTGTTTGCATAAACACGTCAGACAGCATACACACTCAGCTGTCTGCAGATCCATGAAGTTTTGGTCAAGCTTATGCTTAACTGGTGTCCTAAATCTACCTTACATTATAGATGCAGAACAACATTTTCAGAACTGAATCTGGAGCCTGTAAGTGTTCTCATGTCAGAATTGGTGCCCTGTATTAAATGCACTTTACCAGAACAGCAGTGGTAAAGCCCTCGTTGTCTTTCATTCAACTACTGTTGTCTTTTATCTTCTTTTGCATCATTTTTCTTTGTGTAATAATGTAAAACAAGTATGAAGAAAGGGAAATATATCCTATTTTAAAACCCACGGGATCATCAATCTTTTCCCACAACTTGAAAGCAGACAGAGCCAAGTCCAATCGGTCTAACCCCATGATTTTTTTTTTTTTTAAGAAGGGCCAGTGCAGACAACACTTGTTAGCCAGCGACTGGACACCTACAGGAGGCCACAGTGGGACGCTGGCCAGATCTGGTAATCCTCTCTTACTGCCTTGTGACACTCTAATCTGTATTCATCTGCTTGCCTGACCTGCAGCCAGATCTCAAGCTGATTAGGATGAAGGTTTCTCAGCGTTCAGTCAGCAAACAACAAACGAAGAAGACTCTGAAAGGGGAGGGGGGGGGCAGAAAATGGATGTTAACTGCTGCTTTTCTCCCCCACTGTTGTGTATGTTGAGATTATTCACAGGGATTAAGATTAAACCATCAGTGTTCGAACAAACTCGTATTTTTTATCTTCTTAAGACCAAATAAATAACAATAAGATGTAAAGATGTACAGTCGAAGGTAAATATTGATGCAGTTTTCCATTTTAACTAGAAAAACGAAACAAAAACAGAATTGGCCCTAAGTGATGGGTTCCACAGACGCGAGCATGAACAGCTTCTTCACATAACACAGCACCATCCCTCCCCTTCTACTCCCCACAAGCCTTTGATGTGTTATAGGAGGCTAAATCTCAAAGTGCATCCCTTCAGCATCACGCACGGCATGATTAAGTTGTCTTTCTCAAATATGTGCAGATCTGCTGTGAGAAAATTCACAAGAACACACACACACACACACACACACTCGCTCAGAGCTGCGGGGATCTGCTCGTGGAATCCAGCCGTCACCCTCTCTCTTTAACACCCGGCTCCGGAGTCATCCTGGTGGGAGAAGGGTCAGGCAATTAAACTGCTCCCTGGCTCCCCTACCACTCCTTCATCCTTTCATCCCCGCAGCCCCTCCAGCAACACATCCTCTCTCCTGCATCACTCGTCCACAAGGAAACGCTACAGATCATACAGAGATCACACAGCCGAGCCAAAATAACCGCCTTTCAAACCTCAGCTCGGTGCATCTGCTCTTTCATGCACACACAGCCCAACAAAAACAGGATCATGGGAGAGGCTGTTATTATTTATGCACAGCCTGAATGCAATCTTAAACAGGTGAATAAGCGAGTAGAAGATGCTGTGAAGCAGTGAAATATTTCCAACTAGGCTGTAAACAATGCAGCATGAGAACGCTGGAGGCCCTGACAGAGAGAGGAAAACCCGGCCTTTACGTGAGCTATTTTTATATCTGTGCTACTGATGTTTACCCGCTGAACTGAGCTGATGTGAGACTGTATATATCTGTGTGCGCGCCGGACAAAAGGTGACGCAGACGGCGGCACGAGTCCATCCCCCCTTTCAGCGCGTCGCTTTTTATCACGTCAGTGCCACTGTGACCCACTTCCAGCAGCCACTCCCCTCCTTACCTCCACTCCACTCCCACTTTTCCCTCCATTTCTCCATTTTACTACATCCCATTACTTTAACGACTCTCTCCATTACAGCTCTTTTGCTGCTCTGAAAAGAAGAAAAAAAAAAAAGAGGCAGTTTTGAAGAGACTGACCTGATATTATGTCACAACAATAAAAACACATATGAGGCCGTTAATCTGACTGAAAATAGAGTTACAAAAAGTTGTTGTGACCCCGTTTTAAAAGGGTCTGGGCTCCACTAGCTCCCGTTTGGTTGCTACAAGGCTCCAAGCAGCCTATGCCCATCTGTCTATAACAGCCCATCTTGCTGTCTTTGCTGCACGCCTCTAGCAGACAAAAATATCTGCGAGCCAAATCACAAGTGAAACAAGTGTGGAATTTAATACTGCACAAGACAGTGTATGTGTTATAGCAGTGGTCTCCAACCTTTTTTGCGCCACGGACCGGTTTATGTCCGACAATATTTTCACGGACCGGCCTTTAAGGTGTCGCGGATAAATACAACAAAATAAAACTAGTACCGGTACCGAAAAAAAGACGATTTATTCATAACACACGTGAAAAGACCCAGGAAAACAGAGTTAACGATAACAAAATAACGCTGAAAACCGATAAAAACCCTGAAAACCAGACATTTCACACCTGAGCCTCAACTCTCGCGGCCCGGTACCAAACGACTCACGTACCAGTCCGAGGCCCGGGGGTTGGGGACCACTGTGTTATAGTATGAACTGTAACGCACTGTAACATTTCATAGTATGAAATTTAATGCATAATGTCTATTCAGTGTTGAATGGACTTCTGTCGCCATGAAAAAATAAAGACCTTTAAAATAATTTCAATGTTGGAACCTCCGAGGCTGAAACCTGCAGCCAGTGCACTCGTGCCAAAAACTGCAGTTCTTCAAATAGCCGTTTGAGAGCGTCTCCAAATACAAGTCACTCAAGCATAGACTCCTTATGTTTAAAAGACCAACTTTACAGCACAAATAAACAAGTTTATAAACTTTTTATACAAGTTTGTAAAACTTTTAAACTCTAAGAAAAAAGGTGTTGCATTTTTCTCCTTCTGCAACAACAGTATGGTGGTCAATGCTGGCCATTTAAATGATATATTAAGGCTTAAATTGGTAGTTGTTTGGCCACTTTGAGCAACAGTTAAACAGGTCGCTACCAGAAGACATCTAAGAAGCTGGCTGTCCACTTCAGTCAGTAAGTGATTTTAACTTAAGCTAAGCAGCTAACTAATAAAGCTAATGCTAGCTAACAATTACGCCAAACCTTTTGCCCAATTGTGGCACATCTGGTTTAGAAACAAATAAATAAAAACAAGTTAGCAACAGCCAACTTTAGGCTTCATAGCAAAAGTCCACAAACCAATGGGTGATGTTAGTGTCTGTGTGCATCTTTTATATACAGTCTGAGTTTTGAGACTTTTCAGTAAGTGTGAGATTTTGTACGTTACACTGCTGATTAGCAGGACAAGGTGGGAACATTGCAGCATTTCACAATACAAACAAACGTGAACCCTCTCGTAAAACCGTGCTCCGCCGCGCTACAACTGGCCAAACCTCCAGAGAGTTCCTTTAGTTTCTGTTTGAGTACTGTTACCTTCCAGGATGATTTATATAGCCTGCACTGAATCACCTCATAATGATAATGTATCATCCACAAGAAATGGCAGAATTAGTGTCACTGTGATGGATAGCGTATGTATAATATCATTCTCCTCCTTAAATCTGTAGCCTGCTTTTCCATCTCTTTATTAGTTCTTTTTCTCTGTCACACCCTCGGTGCATATGTTTCAAACCCCCGAGTGGAACAAAAAGGTACGCCTGATGTTATCGGAGGTCACGGCAGAAGAGGGGGTTTCAATAATTATATTGAC